TCTTGAGCATGTCCCACAAGGGCTTTCACAGCCTGGCCCCAAGACTTTTATGGCATCATCTCTTGCTATCAACCTCTCATCAGAATTCTCATCATTCTTTCATCTTGCTATACCTTTCATTTCTCTGGGCCTTTGTGTACCAGTTCTCACTGCCCAGAGAGCTTTTCTCCCTTTCTCCTCCAGGCAAGCCCCCATTGATTCTCTAAGACCCAGTTTAACTGGAACCCATCAGCAACACTTTCTCTAATTCTCCAAGTCAGACATGGGCACTGCCTAATCTGTGACCCCAAAGAACCCTACACATACATATTTTTTAAAATAGCACTTATCACATTATATTTTAATTACTTGTTTACAGAGTCCCTTCCCGAAGATTAACTGGCTCCTAAGACAGTAAGGGTAGTAGAAGTGAAATGGGAAGTGGGTATCAAAATCAGAGGTGGCCTGGGAACAGTGCACCCAGAAATATATTCAATTTTATATTTGGTAAAGGACAAAAAGTATACATTGTTTTCAGTTTGTAATACCAAGTTCAGAAAATTCAGCTCACCAAAATCTTGGATGAACACGACATCTGAAAGGTTCTCATATGGAGAGCTGGGGCTAGATCTCTGTGTCTATTTTAAGGGACCTCAAGGTAAATAAAGGCCAAAGACCATGTGTTATACATTGCTCATTCCTGGTATATACTAGATACAAAGATACTAATTGAATAAAAACTTTACATGTTAAACTAAAAAAATTTCAGATACCATCTTGATGAAACAAGTTATTTCTTCCCGAAATGTATAATAGGTTCTGAACAATCCTATTTGTGTATAAAGATAGTTACTCAAGCTTTCTCAAGAGCTGAAATAAGATCCCTATATATACAGGGGAAAATTGTAGAACACAAATATTTTTAAAGTTCCTTTATAAAGAGTAAAGAAATTTAATATTGTATGGCTTATCTTCCATAATCTACTCCCCCCAACCCCAAGCAATACAGTTATGGGTTTGAACTCTGGCGCTCCTTCTGTTCATCCAAAACCAGAATTTGGCTATAAATAGCGTATTTCATTACAGTTTTAGCCTTGATGGGGCATGTGTTATTTGGGCAATAGAAGCCACGAAAAAAGTGATCTAGGTCACTTTGTCTTATGATATTTGAAAGATTTCAGAGGTAAATACTTATTATATCTTAGACTCAGATGGTGCTATCTAAAAATGCTAAAATACTTTCTCAGATTCCTGGGTTTATAATGAAGAATAACTAACTTACCCGTAACTCCTGTTCTCCTAGCTGGTGCTTTTAATCTAGTATTAACTAGATTATTTAACTAGCAGCTAGTTAAATAATATAATGGTGACTCTCAAGGTAAATTAAAATGCTTTAATAGAGAGAACCAGTCAACTGTGGGAAGAAATAGTGCATTTGACTTTATATACCGTGGTACTTTCATTAACAAGACTTATACTTCAGTACAACTACATCTCTGTCAAGGTTAGCTGGTGACAAGAGCTCAAACCAACTTTGAAAAAATGTTTAAAAATAAACTCAGAGGGCTTCCCTGATGGCGCAGTGGTTGAGAGTCCGCCTGCCAATGCTAGGGAATGCGGGTTCATGCCCAGGTCCAGGAGGATCCCACATGCCACGGAGCGGCTGGGCCTGTGAGCCATGGCCACCAAGCCTGCGCGTCCGGAGCCTGTGCTCCGCAACGGGAGAGGCCACAACAGTGAGAGGCCCGTGTACAGCAAAAGAAGAAGAAAAAAAAAAAAACTCAGAGATTCAATCTTTCATAAAACAAGTATTACTAAGTGTCTACTATGTGCAGACATTTGTATTTGTGAACAAAACAAACAAAGGTAAGAATTCCAAGCCTTCATGGAGCTTACATTCTAGGGGGGAAGGACAATGCCCCTAACAATGAACCTAATAAGTTACACTGAATAAAGGATGTCTAAGAACCTTTCATTGTGAAATTAAGTTCGAATTTTGTAAATACTGATGACCTAGTCCTTTATGGACATAATGTCTGTCCACTGTGTCATTGAATCTCCACTGTGACACTCAAAGGTGCACCTCTTATGACTAACATGAATTGTTTGATAATATGAACCAATAACTAGATTTCATATTTTCTCTTTGAACTAGTGTCCAATGCGGCCTGTCCTCTCACTCAGAGCCCTCAGTATCCGTTTCCTGTTCTTCCAAACGAATGAAACGGATCTCCCTGTCTCTGAAAGCCATGCACGCCATATCTTGGTCGAGCACTACACTAAGTGCTGGGGATACAGAGTTTTTTAAGACACAATCTTTACCCCTAAAGAGTTAACTGTTCAATAGGAGAAAGACAAAGGAAGATCAAGGCTTATGAGTATGTAATTGAAGTGTGCAAAGCATGCTGGGTACATCTAGAGGATGGGATGATTACCTCTGCCTGGAGAAGGCTACTCTGAGAAGTGCCCAAGCTGAGTCTGGGAGGATGGGTAAATGTGTGAAGGCAGAAAGGTCCAGTCGTTCATATGGGCCAGGAAGCATATGAGCTTAGGACAGCAGCCAGAGAGAAAGTGACCCTAAGAAGCTAAATCCTAGAACAGTGGAGGCTATGTCTGCATGGATGCCATCACTAGGAACTACATCCCTCATGGGAAAAAATGGAAAACAAAAGTAAAGGTGGCTTCCAAGCAGACTTGAGCTATAGTACTAGGCACACTGAGAAAGATGACTGGACCTCAATACACAGGTTAACTAAAGGAAGGAGACCAAACAGCAAAAGAGGATGATACTTATAATGTAACCCAGACCCAAATCCCACCCATGTTCTCTTGGCAGACTTCTCCAACTCTCCACTGGACATGTCACCAACCAGTCATCCAGGGTTAACAGAAACCGTTCCACTCATATGCTAGTCTCGGCCCAGCAATGTTTCCAAACCAAGCACAGGGAAAGTGCCATTTTGTGTGCCCTGTATATAAGCAAAAGGTGGATAAGATAAAGAGAGCCTTCCACCCTCATGTTAAATACCCATGAAATGCATGTCCCAGAATTCACAGAAGACTATTTTTAACTACAGCCACTATCCTCTGGCACTAGATTATCAACAGTAAGAAGACATTATGCCATGGGATCGTTCTATGTGTTATATATAGCATGTTATAGCATAATCATCTGTCTCCCCAGCTCGTCTTGGGAACTCCTCAAGGACAGGGACTAGCTAATAGTAGGCATTCAATTAAGGGCTGACAAACAAATGAATGAATTAACCCACCAAATTCTTTTCCATAGTTCCAAGCTAGTATAACAGACAGAAAACACACAAATTGCTGTTATTTTTCATTCTAAATGATGACAGCAGGAGGCTATTCAACTACCTTCTCGCAAACATGAAGTCCATGGCCCTACATGTAGACGCACAGAGTCAAACGCCAGAATTGGATGCGAGCAATCTTTAAACTTAAATTTTTAAATAAACAGCTTTCCACTCTCTGAAATTTGCTGAGAGAATGCAATAATGGCAATTCAAGAGTCCCCTTTCCCCCAACACACACATCCAAGCTTTGAAAGAAACATCATAACCCAAAACACCATGGGACAAAAACCTTTCTGCAAAACTTCAAGAACGTGGTTTAAACCCTCATCTCCTTTGAATGACTACATAAATATGCAGTGTCCTAGCCAAGGCTGAAATATACCATTAGACAAAAATGGAAGAGAAAATTTTCTTGAAAAAAACACTGTTAAATAAAAAGTAAGTAATAATTTACATCAGAGTCTAATACCCTGGGCAGGCAATCCTTGGGCCTAGACTACTGAGGTGTGCTTGAGAACAGCAGCCTCACAAAGCAGCCGGGTTTGTCCCTTCTTCTTAAGGTCTTTCCAGCAGTTGTTCTCTAGTGCCCAAATTAGATGCTATGCTTGATGAAGAAGAAAGTTGATTTCACTGATTAAAAATAATAATAAGATTTGTGTAGAGAAAGGCAGAAGTAGCAGTCCTGACTGACAGTTACTGAGCTCAGGCACTTCGAAAGTCAGCCCTCACCCCCTCATGGTGTGAGGGTGTGTGTGTTTGGGGGGCAGAGGGGTCTCTTCCTAGTGAGGAGGAGAAGAAAGTGCAGAGACTAGTACACCAGAGAACTACCCTTTCTGGAATTCATAGAGGGTCTGGCCTCTTATCCCCAGGCCCAAGCCTGGGAACCCGGGTTTTGTCAGGGGCGCCTCCCGGCTGTCCTGCCCTGAGCTGTTGCACATGAGCAGAGACAGACAGGAGGCAGGCCCCTCTGACACCTACTTAACCGAGGCAGATGGGGAGGAGGGTGTGTGGGATGCCTTTACTTCCCCCTCAGGAGGCTCCCAGCAGGAGCCCAGAGCCAGCAGCTCCAAAATCAGATTTCCACACATCCTCCCACCCCAGAACATGCCTTACGTCTCTGGCAGGAGGAAACGGAGCAGTAAGCAAGTATGATTCTAGTGTATGAAGGGGGTTTTAGAAGACCTAAAGAAGGCTTCTTACAGGATTCTGCACTTTTTTCAAACCTCTACAGAGGGAGCCAAGTTGGGAAACAGTTACTCACTCACTGACCCAAAGGGGGCAGGGGTGTTACTCTGAGAAGGACACAATCAGTGTCTGCAAGACGTCCTGAGCTACAGACACATACTTTATTAATAATCTTACATACACAAAATGTCCAAGGGAAAGCCTAACAGGCTAATTTCTGACAGCTCCAGATAACAGCAGGAGGAACTGAAGCCACGCTGATTCTCCAGCTTCTACACACTCCCCAGAAGCAATGATCCCTTTTCCCACCCAAGGGATGTGATACAAATAAATAAATACAATTATCTGTAGAACTTAAAGTGCAAGGACAACATTGTGAAGTCCTTCGCCCCAAGTGCAGTGACTTTTGGGAAACAGATAGGAAAATAAAAAGAACAGCTGGAAAATTTAATTACAGAAGAACAACGCAAATGCTGACATTGTTTCACAGAACTAGCCAATAGCCAAAGCCATTTTCCTTACCTTAAGATACAGAAGCAACTCTTGGCTCCTGAAGATAAGCGGCAGAACCCGAATCTCTGTTTGCTGTCAATGTCAGTGAGCACAAACGTGAAGTTCTGGCCAACTTGGCTAACTGAGAGGCTGCGGCAGAGACAGAACAAAGGGCAAAATGAATGTGCAGTAAGTTTCCTGATAAACTATCTAATCACAACAAGTCGTTGAACCTGTAACATTTCCTTTCTCAGTGGAATTCTTTATAAATGAACTTAAAATTTACACACTTCAAGGGAACAGACTGTGAGCTAGTATTTAAAAACAAAAAAAAGACAGCAAGCAGCGACCACGTCATCACAGCTACCAAACCTACTTGCTGAGCTCAGGCAGGTGTCACTGTTGATCACTGCATCCAGTTCTGAAAGGTGCATTCTATTAACCTCATTTTATAGATGAAGAAATAACCTACAGTGGCACTGCCTAAGGTGCCAGCTGGTAAACTGCAAAAAGCTGAATTTTAAACCCAGACCCATCTGACGCCAAAGCCCTCTCTGCCAGCTCGCTGGTAATGATGCTCACTTGATCATTCCTCTAGTTCAGAAAATAACAGGGATTGCAACAGCAGAATTGAAGTACCAGCCACAAAGTTAGACACTTGATATTATACCATCTCACTGACTCTCCCAGCAACCCTGGAATTTAGAAGATGTTCCCATTTTACAGAAAAGGAAACTATAGAACTGAATAGGTAAATAACTGAATCAAGTTCACAGAGCTACTAAGGGGAGGACCTGGAATTCAAAAGAGGGCAAGATTAGCTATTATCTTCCTAAATTCCTGTATCTTTCATAATTTCCGAATTTATGAGGAATATATTTTATATCTTACAGGACAGAAATAGCAAATGTCTTATCAATGCAAGGCATTTTCTAAGAAATAGAAACAAGGTTTTAAAGAAAAACATTTAAGATAAAAGCTAAAAATTCCTGCATCAACACAAAAATCAGCAAACCACACATAAAACAGAAAACATCTGCTTCAAAAAATTAAAAAGCATATTACTAATCACATTAATCTAGAAACTCTTTTTTAAAGTTACAAAATGTTTAAAAAATCCACTTTTTAAAATCAGTTTACCAGTTAGCTTAGGTTCCTTTTTAAAAAGAAGCTAAATATTACAAATTCTAATACACAAATTTATGCTAACCTAATATTTTAGAATGTGACATTGAATTATTCAAAGGAACTCATTAACTAGTATTGTATCTTATATAGAACAAATTTTACAAAATATACTCAAATTGATAAAATATTCAAATTGATGCTCTCACCTATAATCTGTTATAAATTGTCAGTAGAAATGAAAACTCATGGTTCACCAGGCCTTTTCCAAAGGCAGACTGATTGAGTTTTTTGATAGGATGTGAATTAAGTTTTCAAATATGGATAGCCTTTTTTTCCTAAAACTCCCTTATACAGGCCACATAAGAAAATTAAAGAGACTTTCAAGGTATTCCAGAACAAAAGGTCACATTAAAGGAAACAATTCCAGCCCTCAAGGAGTGGTTAGAGAGTACAAGAAAATAATTCAGAAAGAAAAGAATGTTCCAACACTCCTTTTTTAACTAGGAAGGTGAACAAAAACAAGGTAGCAATTTAAAAGCAATGTGGTAATAAAACAGGTGTAAGTAAGTAATGCTATCCCTCCACCTTACACAAGCCAGGAGAAGGAACATATTTCTATAAAAGTTATAGAGCTGTCAAGGGGACACCAAACTACCTTCTTATGGCTGTTATGTTTTATCTATAAAGCTTGGATACTGTGTTACTATGGTGATTTAATACTATGTTTTAAAGGGGGATTATATGATTAATTTTAACAAGGTTGAGAACTAAAGATGTGTGAGAAACAGGATTCTAGCTCACATAATTAAAGTGATTGGGGAAAAAAGTGGGCCTCATTGGGGGAGGGGGGAAACCTGTATTATTGAAATATTTAAACCAACAGGTCAGGATGATTCTAAGTTACAAATAAGGTCATGCTTTTATGAAAAACTATCATGTGATCATGTAAAATATGACTGTTCATTATTTTAACTCAGGGTTTGATTTCACTTCTAGACTGTTTAAAAAGAAGCAATCCTAGAAGGAAAGGGTATTGATAGGACTAGATGAAAAGAAAACACCCAGGATTTCTAGGAAAAGGACACAGAAGGAACACAACTTGGTTTGTGATTTGAATGTCATTAATTTCTCTATTATCTTTTCACTACCTTTAAAAAGGCTGAAAATTCTTTCAGCTACATTGTAGGCTCAAAGAAAGATTCATTACTCATTTACTTCGTTCAAATCCCAATTCAATCACTTGCTAACTGGGCCTTAATTTAGCAAGTTACTTAACCTCTAAGTAGCTCAGTTTCTTCTCCTGGAAACTACCACCCAACCCATAGCATATTTGAGGAATAAGTGAGATAAGCATTTGGTATAAAGGCTAGACCACTGTAGGAACAATTAATAAAAGAGATACAAGCTGCTACCATCTGATTGAAAACTACAATTCATGTTAAAATCATCCATTTGCTTAGAATCTTCCTGACTGACTCAGCTTTGTAATACTTCTAAGTGGAGAAAGGAAGCCTGCCTTTCAGCAAGGGGGAGTCCTCTGGGTGACCAAGTGAGTTACTCATTCTTGCATTAAAGTGAAAAAGATTCTTTTTGGGGTGCCACAACTTAGAATGGGACACATTATTCTCAGTTGATTCACCTTTTAAATTCCTAGTAGGGTGAAGTACAAGTCATTAAAAGCCCCAGACCATTAAACTCTAAAATATTTTTTCCTTGGATACTCAAATTAACAGTCAAATTGAGTTCAGATTAACTCAAAGGAGTCTGAATCTTCAAGGAATTTGTCATTTCCTCTCTACTATTTCTCCATAAAAAATGACTTTGGGGAAAGAAAGGGTTGGTTTCCTTAAAGGCTGCAGTTTTTGTGATTACCTCCAGGATCAGAATCCATGCATTTTTTACAGGAATCAGAGATTTCATGATGATTAAAGGTAGTGGGAATCTTAGAAACCATCTCGTCCAATTCTCTTGTTTCATAGATGGGGAAACTGAGGCTCAGGGTGTTTTGTTGTGATGGTGGTTTTGGTTTGCTTTTTTCAAAGTAACCAGGACCAAAATAAAAACCCAAGCCCAATTCTGGTTCAAAGTCCTTTCCATTCTGCCATGCTGCACCAAACACAATGAAAACCCTCCAAAGAAGTTGTCAACTCTGTTTAAGGAAATCAGGTATGTGAGGAATTCAAATAGTTGTCTCATCAAACAGACTAACTATACTTCCCACTAAGCAAGAGAAACCAAATTTGAGTATTTCCAGAATTAAACCAGGTGACCAGGACCAAAATCACCCTTAGCTGTGCTTCCCATGCCTAGGTGAATACAGAAAACAGAGGAGAAAAGTAATGACCATTCCAACCACAGACTTTAAAATTCATGCTCCCTTTTAAATGCCTGTCAGCCACTCAAGACCCCTCCTACAGCACTGTGCCTAATATTCAAGTTATTTATAGGTTCAGGGTATAAATGGCATGAAGCAAGTGGATGGATAGTTTGATTCCAATCTTCCAGTGAGAAATCAGATTTTCTATATCAGCCTCACTTTTTTCTTTTTCTTTTTGTTTTGTTTTTTGTTTTTTGTTTTGTTTTGTTTTTGTTTTTGCGGTATGTGGGCCTCTCACTGTTGTGGCCTCTCCCGTTGTGGAGCACAGGCTCCGGACGCGCAGGCTCAGCGGCCATGGTTCACGGGCCCAGCCGCTCCGTGGCATGTGGGATCTTCCCGGACCAGGGCACGAACCCGTGTGCCCTGCATCGGCAGGCAGACTCTCAACCACTGCACCACCAGGGAAGCCCTATCAGCCTCACTTTTAAGTTTAGTTACCCATCTTACAAACTGAGCAACTATATTGGGCACCGTAACAAGTGCTGGATATACAACATCCATCCTGCTGTGGAGCTTCCTGTCTAGTTGGAGAAAGCATAATAAACTCAAAGCATACAGCGTGTGTTAGGGTTATATGAAACGAAAGAAAGAACAAAGACAGAAGAAAATGGAAGAGAAGGAAAAGCCCTACTGAGACAATGTGGTCAGAGACAGCTTCTCAAAAATGCTGACAATACTGACCTAAAGGATGGGATGGAGCAGCCACTCCACAAGCCGGGCACTGGGTGTTTCAGGCAGAGAAAGAGCTGCACAGAGATTCTTCAGCTGGAAAGAGCTGGGCATGTTCAAGGTACTAAAAGGTCACCAGTACAGTTAAGGCCCCAGAGACAAGGAGGAAGTGGCTTAAGAAGGTGCAAGATAAAGCAAGCACCAGATCATGCAGAGAGCCCCATAGACCATGGTAAAGAATTAGGATTGGCTGATTGATTGATTAATAAGGGCAATGGAAAGGTATTGAATGATTTTAATCAAGAGAATAACAGTCTGGCCTACAGTTCTAAAATTTTTATCTGACTCTTACGTGGAGAACAGTTTGGAAGAAGGCAAAAGTAGGAACAGAGAAAACAGTCAGGAGGCTAGAGCAATAGTCCAGGTGAGATTGGATGGTGGCTTAACTCTTGTAGTGAGAGTGAAAATGCATCAGGTGGATAGATCCAAGTTAGAGCCAGCAGATGGACTGAGATGGAGTAAAAAGGCAGCATATTACCATTTAATGGTAGGAAAGTCTAACGTGTTTGGGAAGAGTTCCAAGAGTTTTATCTGGGACATGTTAAGTCTAAGAAACCTGTAAATAGAAATGTCCAGTAAATAGCTGAACATACTATGTAGGAAATCAGGGGAAAAGTTTGGGCTGGAGCTATAAATTTGGAAATCATCTACACAGAGATGGTATTTAACACCATGGTAAAGGATAAGATCACTTAGGAAGAGAATTGAGGGAGAAACAGAAGAGGATCCAGGACTAAGTTACAGAAATACCAATTTAGAGGATGGGTAGAGAAGAGATCATCAAAGAAGAAAAGAAGAACCACCAGGCAGAACAAGCAGGAGGGAGTGGTCGACCAAATCCACAGGCATCAAGATAAGAGAAAAAAAAGTGAATTGAATTGAGCAACATGGAGGTTTTAGACAGTCTTGATAAGAA